GGGACCCAGGCTCCTTCCACCCCATAGAATACAGGTCAACAAATATTTTTGGTAAAGGGCCAGATAGCTTAAGGTTTTGTGGCTATAGGGTCTCTGTTTCAATTATTTAACTCTGTCTCTGCAGTTGTAGTTCCATAGACAGTACTTTAAAATGTATGGGCTTAGCTGTGTTCCAGTGAAATTATTTACAAAAACAGCCTGCTGGATTTGACTTGTAATCCGCTAACTTCTGCCATAGAGAGATTTATAGAGACTTATGTATTAGTTAGCAGTTGGGCAAAAAGAAGGCCTACCTGCTAAACCACTGGGGCCTGGAAGTGACATACAGCATTTTCTCTAGCATGTTGTGGGTAATAATGAAACCCCACCTAGATCAAAGGAGAGCAGGCTGGGAAATGTAGTCCCTGGCTGGACAGGTACCACCCATCACTCTATAAATATGAAAGGTTGGGGCCTGGGGTGATGACTAGCTGTTTCTACCACAAATTATATTCCTCTTAATTTTTCTTTTTTTCCCATTAACACGTCTATTTATCCTTATAATAATTCCTTATAATAATTGTATAAGGCTATTAAATACTGTGTAGTTTTTATGATTTTTTTAAAAAAAATGCAATACTTAAAAAGAAGTAAAATCGTAGGAGGAAACCCAGTATACTTGTATACAAAACACCAAAGTCATGGTGCTCTTGAATTAAAGCAGGAATGTGTGTGTGTGTGTGACAGACTGCCATCACCATCCCCTTGACAGAGATAATGGCCTTACAGTCCTTTTGTGGGGAATGTGCAACCACAGTGAGAAAACCAATGGCATAGACTTATTACTGGGATAACATACAGTTCATAAAATCATAGAAATCATCATTTCAAGAGTAGCCTAATACTTTATTGTTTATTTTAAATCACCTGAAATTTAAATCCATCCAAATTACTCTTCACCAATACCTGTTAAAGTTCTTCAGTGATTATGGTCTCTCTTGGACACCACCATTTAGGAAGCTATTAAGGTAATTTATTATAATGGACTTTGACTCATTCTTTCCCCCATCAGTGTCTTCCACTTAAGTCAGGTTGAAAATATTTTGATTTCTTAGTTTTTTTAGAACTAAAATTTAAAATATTAAACTATTCTTAATCTCTTTATACCCACTATTGCTTCAAACAACTAAAGGATGTTCTAGTTGCTCTAGTATTAATTCAACTTTGAACTTCCATTCTTTTACTTGATATTTTCTTTTTTTGGCTCCAAAATGATTATTTTTTCCCCAGGACTCTAGCTTTAAAGTACACCATCTTTAGAATGGAATAGAGAAAAAAAATAACTCATTACATTTTCTCCATGTTTGGTTTTATCATAAAAAATGTTGAACTCAATAAGCACCATGAGCAAGAGAGGGGTTGCAGCCTTATAGGAATTGCAGCGATTCATCTATGTGTGATTGAATTAAGCGATTAACCAACAGTTATTTGTTGAGCACCTGTTGTGCGCAAAGTAGTCAGAGATAGATGACGTAAGACATTTAGCCTAGTATGAAAGACAAAAATAATAATACCTTACATATAGATATCCCTTTAGTTGAAACAAAAAAGTTACTTTGAAAAGAAAAACAGTTATTTGGTAAGAAATGCACAAAGCAGTGCCTGTTAACAAACCAATATAAGGGCATGTGTTCATTCATTCACCAAATTTTTGTAAAGTGGCTACTAAATGCCAAGCACTGTGGTAGGCAATGAGGCAGTGAAACAGATAAGCCAGGCCCTGCTTCATGGAAGTCATGATGAGTTTATAGCAGCATTTAGACCAGCAGCACAAGGGAAATTGTCAGAAAGACAGATTGTCAAGCCCCACTTTTAAAGGTGAGGCCAAGCAATCTGTAGCAACAAGTCCTACCAGTAATTTTGATGCACAATGAAGTTGGCGAACTAGCTGAGAGGAAGAAAAATTTCATTGTGAACTACCATTTCATGGAAGAGGAAGGATTTGAATAGTACTCTTAAATTTGGAGGTTAAGGAGATGAGCAAGGGGAGGATTTCTTAGTTGTGGGAGAACTCCCAACACTTAATCAGGGACAACATCCTAGCCGCGTTTTCTCCTTATCTGCATCTCTCTCCTATGCCATTACCTTACTTCAGGCCCTCATCACCTGTTGTTCAGTCTTAAGTCTATTCCCATGTACATTCCCACATCCCTCAAATCCACCTTGCACACTGCTGCAACAGTGCTTTCGAAAGCACACAATTCGTCATGTTATTCTCCTGTTAAAATGTTACCTATGGCTATCCCTTGCCTGCACCCTAAGGTCAAATGGTGTCAGGAAGCAGGCAAATGACTTCAAGTTACGAAGTGGCTTTGTTCAAGACAAAAGGGAGCAGTAGAGAACCTGGTGAAAGAAATAAGTTTACCACATCTTTTTCCTAGAGGAATTTAGAGTCAATAAAAGATTGCAGTCCAAATTAGGTCAGGACTGTCCATCTGTCATCTCTGACCTACAGGCTCTAGTCCAAAATCTTCATGACACCCAAGATTTTTTGTGATTGCCCCTGCTTTACTTTCATACTTTTCCTGTTGCTTTGTCCCATAACTCAAATCCAACATTGGCCGTATTGAATGACTAGTAGTTTGTGGCAGGTAACCACATCTCCAGGCCTTTGTTCTACACCACCTATGAGAATGCCCTTTCTCTCCCAATTTACCAGACATGCATTTACTCATTTTCAAGATGCAGCTCAAGGATTACTTTTTTGAAGTCTTTTTCTGAATTTGAAAGGTAGCATTGATCTACGTGTCCCCTTTGTATTACTATAATAATTCTATTATGTTCTTATATGATAGCACCTGTTTCAGTAGTTTGCACATATGTTTCCATGGCTGTCTCTATTAGACTATAAACTTCTCGGAAGCAAGAACACGTCCTACTCACTTTTGTACCTCCTACATTGAACCAGCTTCTAGCAAAAGTTAAGAGGAAAATGAATGTTGAAAAAAAGAAAGTACAAGCAAAGATACAAAGATGAAAACAGAAAAGCTAAAGTCAATCCAAAGATACTGAGAAGATCTGTTTTGCTGGATGGAATTCTATTTAGTAGACAATGGGAACTATATCTGAAAAGATAGTTTGGAATAAGGTTACAAAATCATCTGAGTAGAGGGTTATGGTAAGCATAGCACTTTGGAAGATTTTGATCCAAGAAAACACCATGGTGTTATATAGCAAGGAATATGGTACTAAGTCATATACAACTATTAAAATTTCCCACCCTTTTCCAAACTAAAGATCAGAGATAGCATTAAAAACAAAATGACTTTTTGTCGTTTGACTTTTTCTTTTGTGCATGGTTTTACTTTTCAACAAGATTTGATTTGTCACTTCTTATCCAAGATAATTTTGTAATATTACAGATGAAAAATAAAAGTGCATTAAAACTGTATATGACTTTGTCTTTAAAGAAAATATTGTAGGTCTTTTCACACTATGATTTTAAAATACATTACAATGAAAAGAGAACAAGTTTAGGTAGTTCTCAAGTTTTAAGTTATTTTATAACTACATGCATTTATCTTAAATTGTCATTGAATGAAGGTCATGCTAAGAAGTGACTGAATGGGCCTTGAATCAAGAGTGATTTAAGGTCATACTAGGCTTCACTGAACTAATTTAGACAGTATATTTTGAAACTCATTTAAATCCAGTATTAACCAACCTTGGCTGGTGTGGTTCAGTGAATTGAGTGCCGGCCTGCAAACCAAAGGGTCGCCGGTTTGATTCCCAGTCAGGACACATGTCTGGGTTGCTGGCCATGTTTCCAGTGGGGGGCGCGTGAGAGGCAACCATACATTGGTGTTTCTCCCTTTCTCCCTCACTTCCCCTCTCTCTAAAAATAAATAAAATCTTAAAAAAAATAAATAAATCCAATACTAACCAGGTAAACGACCTAAATTCTTCCCTGGAGCTGGGAAAGAAGGCCAAGCACTCCATTTGGAAACAATCACTTCAAGAGACACTGCCCAGAAAAAGCAAAAAGGTTAAGACTGTTCAGATGCAATGAATATAATCAGTCCTTTATCTAAAGAAGAAAAAAAGGATACAAAGCTCACACCTGTGAAGGCGAGTGAGCAATACAGATGGTTATCTAAATGCTGCCTTGCTGGTTTATTGCCTCGAAACTTTCATATTTTCCATTCACAGATTCATAGCCAGCTCTGAGCAAAATAAAGATAATTGAATTTTTCAGACTCTTAGAAATAAACTTGTACGTTCTTCTGTTTTCTCTATTTTTGTCAGACATTGGATGTGGTATTTTGAGCACTGCTCCAGATCCAGCAACAATTTTTAAAAAGTAAAAGTAACATTGCAAAAGCATTATTCATTGTAGAAAACACAGTGACTAAGGTTAAACAAAAAATGGAGGAGAACATCACAATCATTGTACATCCTTGCACACCTTTAAAAAACTAAAAAAATGGATATGGACTTTTTTTGTAACTTGTATCTCCTAAGTTTCAACATCTTTGCACATTAATATTCATTTATAAAATTATTTTAAACAGCTTCACAGCATTTAGATATATCCACAGAATACACAACCATTTTCTTGGTGTTGGGCATTTTGGTTAGTTCTATTTCACTATTATAAATAATTCCGGGAGGTACATTAATAACTTTGAGGCTATAGTTATTTCCTTCTTTCCTAGGATTCCAATAGAATACGATGGTGTTCTTTCTCCCAAAACAAGGGAGTATGTAGGCATTATTATTTCACAAAACAAATTCCCTTTGTGACGGACAAAAACGCTATCTTATCCCGTTAAGCGCGCGTTCTTGACTAACTTCGAATCCAAAAGGTCGCACGAGAGGCGATTCTGCCAGGGCACCGGAAGCCGGTTCCTCCCATCTTCCGACCTCCGCCAAGGTGGCGCGGGGCAAGGACAACCCGCTAAAGCGGACTCAGTTGCAGGGCGTACTTATTCACGCGCATGCGCGAAAGTGCATTTGCGCGTGCGCACAAGAGCATTGTCGCCGAGGACGGCGGCTGCGCGAGTGGCTTAAAGGCTAGTGAAGGTATTTTGGCTGCTGGCTACTGTCGTTATCCCTCCCCTCCACCGCCAAGTCAGACTGGGATTAGGTCGGGAGACGGGAGTCTAGTGACCTGGGGTCTGGTTTCATTTCCTGCCGCGTGCTTTCTTCGGGTGCGTGTGACGGTGCTTGATAGGCGGTGCGGGGAGTTGACCACACCCCTTTACTTTACTCCCGCCCACGGTCTTCGCGGTCCCTGAAACCCTGGTTATCTCTACGTTTTGAAGATCAATGAAGTCTACTTACTCTCATCTCAAAGAATAGGCCCTGGAATGTACTTAGTGCCACTGACACTAGAAATGCTATTTATAATAAGGCCTCGGTAATCTTGAAAAATGGATGCTTCCTGCAGCCCATTATCAGGCTTGTAGTGCCTTTATACTTTTGAAGGAGGAATTGGATGATTCCTCTTTGGTGAATTGATTGAATCATCATTTCACCTGTTTGTCTTGGAATGTTTGAGGGTACTTATAGTCTGAAAAGGGAGTTAAGTCCAAACAAGTGGTTCGTTGATGATTCGTATACATTAAAATGGTGTAACATTATTTTCCCTGTGCTCATTAACAGCTCACACCAAGCACCTGAAAGAACACCTCGGATATTGTTTCTTACGTCTTTAAACTATTGAACAACACTACCTTCTGGACATTTGTGGTCTGTTACTGGAGTGTGTTTCTGATCATCTGAATCTCAACCATGTTTTCAAACAGCTTGCAGAATATCCTAAAAATTACAAACCCTCATCTTCTATATTCAGGATTTTGCCACCGATCAATAAGAGATAAAAGGAGGTTTTTCGGAACTGTGCCAGCATCCAGATTGCGCAGGCGGGTTGTCATTACAGGCATTGGCTTAGTGACCCCTCTTGGTGTTGGAACGCAACTGGTATGGGATCGTCTGATTCGAGGAGAGAGTGGAATTGTTTCACTGGTTGGCGAAGAATATATGAGTATCCCTTGCAGTGTTGCTGCTTATGTGCCAAGAGGTTGCAACGAAGGTCAGTTCAATGAACAAAACTTTGTGTCCAAATCAGATATCAAGTCCATGTCTTCGCCCACCATTATGGCCATTGGGGCTGCAGAGTTAGCCATGAAAGATTCTGGCTGGCATCCTCAGTCAGAGGCTGACCAAGTGAGTACTGGTGTTGCCATTGGCATGGGAATGATTCCTCTTGAAGTTGTTTCTGAAACTGCTTTGATGTTTCAGACAAAAGGTTACAATAAAGTCAGCCCATTCTTTGTCCCGAAGGTTCTGGTCAATATGGCAGCAGGCCAGGTCAGCATTCGATATAAACTCAGGGGCCCCAATCATGCAGTATCTACAGCCTGTACCACAGGAGCTCATGCTGTGGGAGACTCTTTTAGATTTATAGCCTATGGTGATGCTGACGTGATGGTGGCTGGAGGTACAGACTCTTGCATTAGCCCTTTATCTCTTGCTGGGTTTTCCAGAGCCCGTGCTTTGAGCACAAACTCTGATCCTAAGTTGGCATGTCGACCATTTCATCCAAAGAGAGATGGTTTTGTAATGGGAGAAGGTGCAGCTGTGCTGGTGCTGGAAGAACGTGAACACGCTGTTCAGCGAGGAGCCCGGATCTATGCAGAAGTTTTGGGCTACGGACTGTCAGGTGACGCTGGTCACATAACCGCCCCTGACCCTGAAGGCGAAGGAGCCTTAAGGTAAAATCTGGTTTTTTTGCTTTTCATTTAAAGTATTTATTCAAATAAGGCATTTTATTGGAGTGTCAATTTAGAGGGACTTGTACTACTCTCTGGTCTCGGTGGACAGTGTCTCTATTGTTCCATTTTACACTAAAAGCGTTTTTGAGTTCTTTGCTTTAACATGTTTCGTGCATTCAAAAGCATTTGAAAATCCTTACAAAAATTGGATTTTAGTTAAGGCCACAAATTGTGAAGAAGGCTACGTGTGTCTTTGCTAATTTTTCATACCTCCAGTTGTGCTTAACTGCTGCCAGGCTTCTCCCCCTCCATTTTCCACTCTGGCCCTTCATCAGGCTTGGACAGCAAAGTCTTTCCTCTAGAAGTGTCTAGTCTGTGCTCCATTTCAGCAGGGTTCTGCTCGTACTACATTGGCGCTTCCCAACTTTTAAGCACCTAGGAACTTTACTGAAATGCAAAGTCTGCCTTTATAGGTCTAGGGTGGTGCTTGAGCTTCTGTTTCTGTGCCAGGCTCTCAGGTGATGCTAATGCTGGTGGCCTGAGGACCACGCTTTGTAAAGCAAGTGGCTAGCTGCTATTGTAGAAGAGATGGTGAGTTAAGTTAAAAAAAAAAAAATCCCTGTTAATGTGTTAGCTAATTGGTTAGGCTGCTTAGATCATATTTTATTGTAACCAGTTAAATTAGCCGAGGTTTGGCAAAGCTCTCTGTGAAAGGACAAATAGTAAATATTTTTGGCTTTTTGGGCCATAGCATCTATGTTACAACTACTCAACTTTGCCTTCTAGTGTGAAGTCATCCATAGATAGTACATAAGTGAATGGGTATTTTCCCGTTAAACTATTTACAAAAACAGGCCTCTGGCCAGGGCCACAGTTTACCTATCCCTGAATTATGCTTTTGAGATTTAGTGAGTAGTTGCTAATGCTAAAAATATGAAGTAGCCAGCTATTTGAAGAAATAGTTATGTTTAGATGAAACATTTCAGCATACTTTATATTATATTTTGAGCTGCTGCTTAAGGAAATATGTGCAGCCCAGAGATGGGAACTAAAAAAGAAGGTGTTGACATACGTGAGATTTTCAATGGTTCTTCCAGAGAAATGTTTTATTTTTGGATTTGTTTGTTTTTGGCTTGGCTTTGAACTTTAAAATTCTTACAGACTAGATAAAGAGAATTTTGAAACGTTATTTGAAGCACTGAAGTAATGGTACAGACATTTTTAGATTATTGGGTCATATGCCAAGTTTTACTTTAAATGTGAGAGAAAAAAATGAAAACACGGTTATAAAATTTTTCTCCACATTTTAAATCTACACACACATAACAGCCACGCACGCCTGCAGGCACACACATCCCACTGATAGAAATCCCTGGAAGAAAAGTTATTCTAGACTTGAATCAATATGTGTTTTTTCCCCCAAGGGAAAGAGCCATTTCAGATAAATAGAAATATATTTTGTTAGAGATTATGAAATCCATAGGCCTTTATATTTATCTCTCGTTGATGAATTAGTCCAAGGTACTGGGGTGAGTCATTATTCCCAGGCAGGCGGCATTCTCACTCACACGGTAACCTGAGATGAGGTTCTGTTACTAGACAAAGGATTACTTTCATCCGGTGTACTTGGATATGTCTTTCACTTAAGCCATACAGATAATGAATCCCATGTTAAAATTAAACTTAGTTCTGATCCATATTTTTTGTTATTTTATCAGATGTATGACTGCTGCTGTAAAGGATGCAAATATACAGCCCGAAGAGATATCCTATGTCAACGCACATGCTACCTCCACACCATTGGGAGATGCTGCTGAAAACAAAGCCATCAAACATCTTTTCAAAGACCATGCACATGCCCTTGCTATTTCTTCAACTAAGGGAGCCACAGGACATCTGCTGGGAGCTGCAGGGGCAGTTGAGGCAGCATTTACTGCTCTGGCTTGTTATTATGGAAAACTACCACCTACTTTAAACCTGGATTGTACAGACCCGGAATTTGATCTCAATTATGTTCCACTAAAAACACAGGAATGGAAAACTGAGAAAAGACGTATTGGACTCACCAATTCCTTTGGTTTTGGTGGTACTAATGCAACACTTTGTATTGCTGGCATGTAGGACAAATCATTTGTAATTAAACATTGATTTTTAAATATTATATTCAAACTATAATAAGTGGAGAAATACTATTTATATATAAATGCATATACTTACATGTTAGCACCCAGATACCCTTTATCTATGTCAGGGTTTCTCAGTCTTGGCACTACTTGGCTATATATATATATATATATACTTAAGATTTTATTTATTTTTAAAGAGAGGAGAAGAGAGGAAGAAAGAGAGGGAGAGAAACATCAATGTATGGTTGCCTCTTGCACACCCCCTACTGGGGACCTGGCCCGCAACCCAGGCCTGTGCCCTGACTGGGAATTGAACCACAACTCTTTGGTTCGCAGGCCGGTACTCAGTCCACTGAGCCCCACCAGCCAGGGTTGCACTACTGATATTTTGGACTGGATAATTCTTTGTTGGGGAAAGAAGAGTTGTCCTTTACATTGTAGGATATTCTCTACCCACTGATTGCAATAGCAACCTCTTCCCCAATTGTGACAACCAAAAATGTCTCCAGACATTGTCAAATGTTTTCTGGGGGGCAAAACAGCCCCCATGTGAAAAGCAGTGATCTGTGTTTTTCTAACACGCTATCAGGGGTGTCCAACCTTTTGGCATCTGTGGGCTGCACTGGAAAAAGGGTTGTCTTGGGTCACACATTAAATATGTCACGACATGTAATTACACACAAAAGAATCTCATAGTATTTTAAGTAAAGTTACAATTTTCTGTTGGGCCTCATTCATAGCCATCCTGAGCCGCATGCAGCCCGTGGGCCACAGGTTGGACACCCTTGCCTATATCAAAGAACTCTTTGTGGCATTTCACCTGATCTTGTCTCCTAAACATTTGGTGAGTTGCTGCTTTGTGCTAGGTAGGGTTGCTGCATGGCACAACTCGAGGCTTACCATTCTATACAATATATAAGAAAGGAATACAAATATAACAAAGTTTGTATCATTGATCCACATTCTTTGAGCAAAGCAGTCAGCCAGCGATAATCTACTTACCCCTTACTTATCTAGCTCTCTTTTCTTCATATTACCTATGCTGAGATTCAGTATAGTGGAATCTTCCTAAACTCCCAGGCCATCAGTTCTCTGAAAGAAGGAAGTGAAATTAGTTTGGCATTTCTTATTCTTTCTGTATTGATGGTAATACCTAGTGATTATGGAGAGAGGGTCGTTAGGAAGTGGGTCAGAACTTGGTGATCCAAGCCACACCACCTTGGTCCACCTCTGCCTACTGCAGCTATGGTAAATAGTTCTGGTGTTTGCTGCCAACTTTTCACCACAAGTGCTGGTAGTACTGCTTTTCTTCCTTGAGGCTCTCTCTAAAGACAACACGTTCCATTCATCTCCATTGGCTGGAAGTGTTGGGATGGGAAAGGGCAAAAGTTCCCTAGAGGCAACTTCTGAGGGATGGGAGTGGGTTGAATAAGTGTCTAACCCTCCTCCTGAGGGATATCTAAGGTTCTAAGCAATTTCTCAAAGGGTTTTCAGTGAGATAAAACTTCAGTATTCACAGCATTAACCAGCTCAATAGTATCCACTTTACTGGCTTTATTTCCTTCCCTGTCCCCACTCCCTGATTTTTAATCCTGCTTCCAGGGTTCACATTTCAATCCAACCACCTTGTCTTGGCGTCTGCTCTCTGGAGAGCTCAGACTAAAGAAGTTTGTGTTGCAATGGGCTTTTATATATCAAAGGGATAGAGTGAGTAAGTGGTTAAATGTAATGTGTATTTCTGAAAAAGTGAAGAGTTCCCCACATTTTAACAGGCTGAATATATTGCCTGCCCACTGACCTTGACTTCCATCTTTATATGTCTAAGACTTCAGCCATGTTCATTCAATGACCAGGTTTAATTCTCACTTGGCACACATTGATTTGTTCAACTGGAATTTGTTGGGTACTAACCCTGAGTTGGGTTTTGTACTGGCCACCAGTGATACAGTGATGTGTCAGGGGAATTTTCCTAAAAGAAGCTGAGGCCATAAGAGTGACTAGGTCGCAGCCAGGTTAAGGAGGAAGAAAGTCAAGGAAGGAAGATTATTCTGGCCAGGAGGAATATAGCATGGAAAGGTTAGAAAAATTAGATTGTTTATACTAAACATAAATGCATATAGCCTGACATGGAGGGAGTAGGAGATAAAGCCAGAAAATCTCGTGCAAGTCAGGTCGCAAAGAACCTTGCAGGTTTTCTTAAGGCAGTAAGAGTAATGGAAAGGTTTGGAGTGTTATGATGGTCACCTTGGCCAGGCTGAACTACATTGCCCAGAATTCTTTTTACTTCATTTTTTTTTTTAGGGTTGTCGAGAAGAGAGTCTTAGAGATTCTGAAAGTGGAAGTGAAACTGCAGGCATTTTGTAGCTCACGCAGGTTGTGGCTTTGCTGGCTCACTTCCTTGAAGTGAGGCAGCGGCTGAGCTTGCAGCAGTTTTACCTTCCCCCGACTCAGTTTCCCCAACTCTGTTTAGCTCCATGATAATGAAGGGCCCTACTTTCTCCCCCCATACTGCCAAGATCAGAAGCCGCACGAACTGACAGGTTTCAGTTTATTCTTGTGTTTGTGAGTTTCAGTTTGTCAGTGGAACTTTACATCCATCTTCCCAACTGCCTGCCCTGTGAACTTCAAACTAACTCCAGCATCAGAAGATAATAGGTTGACATAAGAGCCTTACAAAGACTGTTTAACCAATTCTCATTACTGTGTTGAGGTCCAATTCCTAGAATTGTCTTTTTATACTTACATCTATATCTACCTTAGTGGTTCTGTTTCTTTAATTGGACCCTGACTGATACATGTGAAGAAGAATGGGAGTTATTGGGAGTAATGATCACATTTTATTTTAGAGCCATCCATCATTCTAGCTGCAGAGTGAAGGACAGATTGGAGGGAAGCTTGTTTCCTATAAGGGAATCCAGTCAGAAGGGTATTGGGAAACCTAGGGAAGAACAGATGGTGGCCTGGATAATGCAGGGTATTTTGACCCAAGATTCTTCTGAAGTTCAAAATAATATGACTTTTAAAATCAACTTTACTACAGCATAATTTATATACAATAAAATGCACCCATTTTAAGTGTACAGTTAAATGTGCTTTGAGAAAGGTGTACACACACTTGTGTAACTACAACTTCAATCAAAAGAGACCATTTTCGTCACTGCAAAGATTCCCTGTGCATCTCTGCTGTCAAATCTCCCCAGCCCCAGACAGTCACTGAAGGGGCTTCTTTCACCGTAGATAAGATTTGCCTTTTCTGGGATTTTATGTAATTGGAGTCACAGGGAATATACTTACATCTGGCTTCTTTTTGCTCAATGTTTTTGAGATTTATCCATGTCATTGAGTATATCAGTAATTCATTTCTTTTTTATTGATGATTTCAAAAGATTCTTTTATCAATGCAGATATTCTGATTTTTACTTTTCCCTACTCTCTACTAACTTTATAATATTTTACTTTTATGTTTTAAATATGTATTGCCTTTGAACAGAAGACAAGAATTTTAAAAATTTATTAGGACTGTGATAGCTTCTAAAGCAAAGAATTTTCCCTAAAAAATCACATATGTACAAGGATACAGTTACATGATACATACACACACAGGGTGGAGCAAAAGTAGGTTTACAGTTCACATGGAAAATAATATAATAATAAATAATACAAGAATAAACTTTTGTGTACTCTCAACTGTAAACCTACTTTTGCCAAACCCTATCAATCTATATATATCATGTATATATTTACATGGATATGTACATATGTATATATATGTATGTATCTATATGTACACGTTAATTGAGAATACTAAAAGAACTACAAGAAATATGAGAATGATTTCCTATGGCTTAGCGCCAACAGTATATGATTATTTTTGGACCTAACTATCTCCCCAGAATGGGGTTGTAACAGGGTGGTCAGGCCAGATTGCTGGGGAGTAGGGGACAGGTCCCTGAATTAATGAAAGAAACTGCACTTCCCCAGAGGGACCCCCAGGGGGCGAACCAGGAAGTGCCAAGGGCTGCAGATTAATGCAGCAGCCTGGCAGGGCCCGTGCTTTCCCAGAGAGCGGAGGGACTGCGGGGGAGTCTGCTGTCCAAGGCAACAGTAAACAGCGTTTGTGACCCTAGCAGCCAAGCAACTCATGACCCAGTGGGAGGGAGCTTGTACTGAGGCTGCTGGGGCCAAGAAGTTCAAAACACGTGTATGGCGGAGGTCAGCAAGCCACAGCAGGCGCGATACCCTACGCTGGGCCGAGACCCAGTGCTTCTACGTGTGGCTGGAGACCTTGCCCTCTTGTGGAGCACAGCGGCCAGAATGAGGGGCAAAGCCGAACATGGCTGACGTTGGTCCATGTTGGTTGAAAGGCCGGACACTTCCACAATGCAAGGAGTTTGGGTGCTGGCTTTAAAAACAATGCATGCAGAAGCTCGCTCCCCTGTTCTTTGGGCTTTCCTCTCACCCTACTTGGAGAAGAGCCAGGGAGTTCCCCGGGCTTAGTCTTTGCACAGTTGGGAGCCAGCTCGCAGAGGCGGAGTCCCACGCTGGGACGTGTGCCTTGCTGAGCACTAGTTCTTGGGACACTGCAACCCTGCGGAGCACGGTGCACGAGTCCTGGACTGCATCCATTTTGTCACCCTGAGAGCAGCAGGCGGAGACACTGGCCAGGAACAAGCACCGGCCGTGGGGGCAACAACAGCCTGGTGCTCCAGGGCCCGGCGGACTGAGCCCCTGCAGGACCAGCTGCAGTGATCTGGCAGCGCATCCCTGACCCCGGGAGAGAGAGAGAGCTGCGGTGGGGTGATGGCGACGCCAGAACCTACTGAAACACACACCAGAAAGAGAGCTGAAAGCTGGAGAGGTGGAGACCCATTCTTATAGAAATCTCTGGCTCCAAAAGCACAGATAAAGAATGATGAGGAACTTCTGGGCATGGGTTTGGATTGGATTTCAGTCATTCTGGGAACAAGGGAACTTTTGTTCTTTGCTGAAGAGGAGGGCTTGGAGCAGGGACGCTCCCAGCCCCCTCCAATTGGGAACTTTCTTAATAAAAACCTCTTTCTTTCCT